GCGAGGTACTGGTGGTTTAAACACTCGTGACATTCCGACTTTTTCACAGCCGGTGCAATCATATTCAATCATGTTCAAAGGTCATGTTCAAAGGGACGCTGGACCGAATCCAGGAGGTGAAGCTCCCCACCAATAGATGGAGCGGCCGGCAATGGACTTACTAGGGAGGCTGCTTTTTTTTCTTTTTTTTTTTTTTGAATGCTCCGATCTATTCCTGGGGAGCAGCACGTGCTGGGAACCGGGCCCAGCGTCCCTTATAATATGAATACAATGTTTTTTGAGTATCGTGTGCTGAGAACCGGGCTCAGCGTCCCTTTTGAACTTCATAGGTGAGAGTTTGAGCAGACATGAGCATGAGACATTCAGAGAAAAGCCTTTGTGCTGGAAACCGGGTCCAGCGTCCGATCCCTCTGACTACCTGGAAACTAAGGACCAGGGTTCTGCAGAAACCGGGTCCAGCGTCCGATCCCTCTGACTACCTGGAAACTAAGGACCAGGGTTCTGCAGATGCCAGATCTTACGTAGAAAGGCAGCAGCCCCTCCTCTAACCCGTTGCCTGGCTCGGGAACCAGCAGGAGCCACTTGGGGGCATCAGTGGGTCCTCCTTCCGTCTCCTTGCCCGCCCCAGATTCCCTCGACAGGCAGCCGACAAATGGGTGTACTCTGCTACTTTTTTTTTTTCTTTTTTTTTTTTGAGAAACAACCCGAACAGTTGCTAGGGGTGCTGGTAAGAGCAGACACCACTAGCGCCGTCGGGAGGGCTCCATCTATTGGTGGGGAGCGGCACCTGCTGGAAAACGGGTCCAGCGTCCCTAAACATGAAAATCATTTGATTATACAATCGTAAATTCGTGGTGATTGATGGAGCATGTACTCGATCTAATCTGATATATAGTAAGGAGCAACATTGATTGCCCTCCTAAGAGGGGATTAACCGCTCTTCCAAGCATACGTAATCACAAAACAGCGATGACAGGAGAAACCCAAACTAACCACCTCCCATCCCGATTAGAATTGCGGGCCGGGAAAAACCAATCACCACCAACTAACCCACGCCCCTCCGCTGCCAACTAACAACTCCAATCATCCCACTACAGCCACGATTAATCCTCATATCCTCCATATCATCCCAGCCAAAGCCGTCGTTATCATTATCATCAATATTGTTAATGTTGTTATCATCAGCATCGCCATCGCTCCCAACAGCACCGTTGTTGTTGTCAATCCTGTTGCCACCAAGGACACTGTATTCGGTATTCTTGAACTGATTGTTGTTGTTGATGTTGTTGTTGATGTTGTCTTTGTTATTGTTGTCGATACTAGCGTCGTTGTTATCGCAGCTGCCACCTCTGTTGCTGATCTGGTTGGTGAAGGTCTTGTCATTGATGTCGTTGTTGTCATCGTTGTTATTGCTGTCGTTGTCAACGCAGCCGTCGCCCTCTTCTTCACCACCCGCCGTTATATCCCCCCCAATCATATTATCGTCACAACCGATATCAGTACTCACCTCCTCCATTCTCTTATCGCCGTTGACCACGCTGTCGCCGACGTTCTCTCCCGTCGTCGCTGTCAAAAATGTTGTATGTCGTCATATCCCCCTCACTGTCGTTGACGCAATAGCTGTCAGAGAGAGCCTGCCCTTTCCGAAATAGATGGTAGCATCTGCGCACGATCCCACGCTTCCGCTCCCCATCAATGAAGTCATCAAGCCCCGGATCCGGCCCCTCCTCGAACGCCCAGATAATTTCCAGCATCTGCTGGATCTTATCCTCCATCCAATCAACCATTAGGGATTCACCCCCTTGGCCCTGTAATGGATGAATTGATGGAGATGACATCACCCGCAGTATCTCCTGCATCTGAAGCTCCCCATCCTCCAGCTCAGCCAACCATGCATCTGCCCACCGTTGTAAATCTTCAGTCGACGCCATATTATCTCCCAAATTCTCTGTCGCGTCGTATATGTTATGTGTCGACCATCGCCCCGCTCTTCACGCCGAAGTTCTCCTACTTCCCCGCCAATAGATCACAAAAATCTGCCACGTCAGCTTGCGCACGACGCGTGGCGGGACGCATAGCCAGGCCACATACCACCTGCCACGGTGGCACGGCCAGCCGGATGAAGGGCAACCGGGCCTTGCCGGAAGCGATCGCTCAGAGCATTAGCGCTCGTCACGATGCGGCGGTACACCTTGTGTGGCGGTGATACTGCGGGTGATGTCATCTCCATCAAATCATCCATTACACGGCCAAGGGGGTGAATCCCTAATGGTTGATTGGATGGAGGATAAGATCCAGCAGATGCTGGAAATTATCTGGGCGTTCGAAGAGGGGCCGGATCCGGGGCTTGATGACTTCATTGATGGGGAGCGGAAGCGTGGGATCGTGCGCAGATGCAACGATCTATTTCAGAAAGGGCAGGCTCTCTTTGACAGCTATTACTGCTAGAGTGCCCTATTTACACTTAGGTTAGTTCTCTCCTTGCAGGGTTTCTACCACCGACAGTGGGTGGGGAGGGAACGAGTACCCGAAGTCGTGCGCAGATCTGAGTGGGATCCCAGAGTCGATGACCGTCCAATCGTGAAACTGCAGTCTGTATTCCCGCTTCATCTCCTGAGGATGCTCCTCCTCTGTCGTTCGCTGGTCCGTCTGTTCATCCCCCGACCATGTCACCTTGGCTATCCAGCCCCCCCTCTTCCCTCCCAGCCATTCTTCGTCGAAGCAAGAAATAATTTGATCCACATCCTTCCTAAAATGTACACTGTCCTGCCTTTCCTTCGCAGCCTGCCAGCGAACGGTAATCTTGGTTTGCACCAGCTGAGCTATTCCGTGACCTCCCCCTCCTCCACTCTGGCTCTCTCCATTTCCAGAACGCACCTCCTCCACCAAATTACCCGAAGTATGGATTGAAAAAAAAAAAAAAAAATTCACTTGGGGAGAGGCTCCGTCTATTGGTGGGGAGCATCACCTGCTGGAAAACGGGTCCAGCGTCCCTTATACAGACTGAGATTGGAATACATCTGACGGACTAACACACAATTGTGGGATTTTCCTGCCAGCATTGATTACCCTGGGATCCAGGGGATTGACTGAGCAGGATATTGGAGGGGGGGGGGGACCTCTTCACCCTGAATCCGGCGCCAGATACACATCTACACGCTAGTTCCACCCCCTTTTTTTCCAACAAGTCTGACCCAGCCTCTCAACCATATCTTAGGTGGATCGGCCAGGTGTGAGGGGGAGTGAGGAGGCAGGTTCTGCATCCAGGGGGCGACGGGGGCAGACACCTGATCCTCCTATTCCCTTTCTCCATCCTGACAGGACCCCCCAGGATTGTGTTGGGTGGGCTCCATAGTGGCTCGACCATACCAGTTCAGCTCGACTAAGGTATTGTTTGGTGGGGGGAAAAGATCAGGGAACTCAGGGGCCGGGGGGAGTGGGATGTCGCTGGGGATTTCAGTCCATTTATGGAAGAGCAAACGATAGACTTTCTGCGATATATCCAAACGGTCATTACCATCCAAAAGCCAGCCATCCCATTGAATCCATGCAATCTGTCCTCCCTGTTTCCCCCCCAACCAGTCCATGCAGAATTCGTTTAGTTTTTGGATAATGTCTGATCTTTTTGTGAGAGCTCTCATCCCTTGTACCGTCTTTTTCCACAGAGCTCTAATTGTTGTTTCAATCATGTCTTGAATCATTTCAGTTGTTTCGCCACTTCCCACGTGGGCATTTTCAAGTACTAGAATGCATCTGCGACGTCATATAGCCCCTAGTACTGCTTCTCTCCCAATCCTAAATAAGTTGGTTGTGAAGGTCAAGGATTGGACAGACCAATGACCAGTTAGCAGGGCCCTCCATTCCCACGGCCAGTCTCTGTCTGTGCCTAGTTGGTTCCAGAGCCGAACCCATCCCCGCCACGTAAGGATAGAGGCAGGGAAGGCATTGTTAAACACTTCAGTACATGTAAGGATAGCCCGACCAGGATCGATAACTCGATACACGACGCCTGCATTGTTCAACACTTCAGTCTTTCACAATAAATCAGAGACGCAGAACGCAGACAACAACCAACGTAAGTCACAATTAGTGAATTGTCATCAACAGTTAGGTCCGCGTACGCCTCAGATGTCCCTTACCAGTTAGGCTTCGCCTTGCCTCGTATATACCTACAAGAACCACCATGTCTCTTTGCATAGCTACAATCTCAACTCTTCAGCAGGTGGTAATGATTGACTCGCAACAAAATGCTACAAACGAGGAGCATAAGCGACGGCGAAGTGTTTCGACCTCTGTACAGGCTCGCTAGCAGTTGGCAATGGCTGCTTGGGAAAGGAAAGTCGATGCCAACGAACAAAAGGCAAGCGCTTCTTCGCGCATTGTCCTTAAATGGTACATTGTAATTAAGTTTCTTTCTTTCTTCAGTGTCAAACATGCTCGCCTCACCCTACACGTGTACACAGACTCATGTCCTGATCCTAGATGGCAGCGCTTCTCCGCCCCTCGACTTCAATCTTGTTCCCTCGTGAGAATTGATCCCTCAGTTTCTTCTATATCTTCGACTGGCAAGTGCCTCTCACATACTTTTCCAGTTTGCGTCAAAACAAAGTCTATGTCAATCGTAACCTCCGACAAAGTACCTGAATGTCCATACATGCCCTTTGTGTGTGTGTGATTCTCGGTTTCGCTGACCATCACAGATAAATTGACTCGATCCCTCAGTGCTAATACCGCGCACATTAGCTCGTTGCAGCCCTGTCACTTGGAATCAAGATGTAATCCTTTCCATGTGTATCACTGTTATCTGCCGTCGTACGCTTCCCCCACCCTCTCGTGCGATACCATGACTCGCGTGGACAAGGTGACGTCAACTGCATTGCCCTCATGCGCGAGGGACACTACGTCCTTCTCGTTGACTCATGACACTGACATAGACGCTTGATCCCATCTCTCGCAAGCATGCCTGCAGCGGTGTCTCTTCGTGAGATGATGTCAACCTAGTCACGCGTGTCACTTCATTGTAACTGCCTAGCACCCTTCGTCTTGCCCGTGACTGCTTAGCGCCCATGGTCACGTCGTCGTCGCAAGATGGCCTCTGGGCCGCTTTCCACAGGCTCAGCCGGTGGGTGGTCCTTCTGCCACTGGTCCAGCCCGTGCCAAGACTGGGTCTCCGCGTCCAAGTCGCTCGCTTCGCTCTCGACATCTCTGTCACGATCCAGGTGCTGTTGTCCGCGCTCTGTAGTACCAATGGAGGTCTCAGCCTCATGGTACGTGATTGTCACCTGCACCTCAATCACGAACCTGTCCCTTCGGCATCTTCTCTTCGCTCTATTCTTTGCCTTCGTGACCACAACCTGTAGCTTTAGATCTCCTGTCATCTCCTCCTCTCTCACCCCTTCCACGTTGATCTTCAATTTTGCCTCGTCTCCCCCGTCGTAGTTTAGAATAGTGGTAATCCAGGGACCCTCCCCGGACATCAGGTACCAACGCGTATAAGGTTCCAACAATCCGGCCTATAGCCATAGAGACCATCGCTGCGCGTCATGGCCGCTCACTTGTGAATAGCCTCTGCTAAGCAGCAACTCCCATACTTGCCCTGTGCGCTCGGAGCCCTGAACAGCTAGGCTTCGTAATCTTGGCCTGAGTCGCCTCCGTCCTAACACGACTAACGTTCCTCACAACTCGCACGAAGGTACCCAGCCGTACGAAGTTAGCGTCGTGCCAATGAGCTTTGCACGTGCTGCTTCTGAGCTGAGAATCCCCTTTTCTGGCGCCGCGGCCAACCACTGCTTTTGTAGAGCCCTGGGAGTTGTGGTCCCCACGTACTAAATGGGGTACTCACGGTCACTTTAGGATCAATAGAAGAAAATGAATAAATCTTGAACCACATTAGAGTAATACTCTAGTTCTTATAATAGTAAAAGAAGAATTAACTGCCATTTTCTTTTGTAGTCATTGTCCACAGTCTTTTCAACTCACCCTAAAAAGACCGCGGATCCGATACACAGTGGTCCCATAATGGGATACCGACTGCCGCGCTTCCTTCTTCAAAGGAGGCCATCGGACTACCCCTGATGGGTACCTATGTCCGATGGCAAGGAGGGGGCTCATGACCTCCTGCGAGGTGACGAGTCTCTTACCAACGCGGCCGGGTGCTCCCATTTTGGGACCCTGTACTGATGGCACCTCGTCGGTCAGGTTCACTGTGGTTGGAGTGCAAGGGTCGGGCGGTCTAAGCCGCCCGTTCGTAGTAAAAATGAAATTCTAAACTATACCATTCGTTGTCCCGAGGAACGACAGAAGGGGGGGGGCTAAAATTTAAAGGCGACCAAATTTTAAAATTAAATGATGCTCCAAATTCACAGCAGGAGATCACTCGTCACGACGGTTGCAGTCCTCCGGCCCACCAGAGGCAGACCACGGCCTTGATCATGACACAAATTGAAGATACAATTTCTCTCCATTTTTAATTTTCTTTCCTTTTTCTCCTGATAGTGATCTCAGCTATAGTACCAATCCCTTAACTCGACTAGAGGGAACTCGGCGCGTTGTAGAAAAGACCGCGCCGGCCCCTTTACTTCCACGTCCCTGGGCGAGCCCGACGACTACCACGGCCACAGGCCGGTTGTCCTCTGTTACAGCAGGGCGCCGAGCTTGCGTGGACCAACGGAAAGTCCAGTGGCGCACCCACCCCTCTTGCCAGGGCAAGCGCCAACCGACCGGCCCACAGTAGAGTACAACCTATGTGCACCCAGTGTCTCGCCGAGATCCATAGGCTGAAAGCTTAGTGGACCAAGAGGGTTCCTAAGCAGGTTCTGGGACATAGCACGGTACGTAAGCAGGTACCGGGTAAGCAGCGTGGTACACGTGCAGGCGCCTGGTAAGCAGCGGAGGGCCGGGACATCACGTCCTCCGACAGCGGGTGTGGGGAAGGTGAGGGTGGGGAATGCTTCTTCTTCTTCTTCTTCTTCTTCTTCTTCTTCTTCTTCTTTTAAAGACTCAGTAGGCTCTAATAGGGAGGGTGATACAAGCATCCCCCCCTACTATGGCCCATTCAGGTCCCTCCAACTATCGGTGGGGAGCCACACCTGCTGGAAAACGGGTCCAGCGTCCCTCTTGTACATTGATGTATTGATGCTTGGAATAGGGATGGTAAACGTGGGGAACGCCTCTGGACAAAGTCCAATACGTATTTTCTAGTCAAAGAAGCAGGTGGACCTGTGTCGATGTCTTTGGGGTCAGCCGTGCAATTTGTTCAAGTGCTAGCTGTGACCAGATTACACCAGATGGAAGATTAGATGGAGAATCCACTTAGAGGGATAGTGCCTCCATTTGTGGTGTAGGATCTAGTATGGTCAGTCCTCTTTACCTTTCGGCTGGGTAATGGTATCCTAGGGTACCCTACTAATCGCATGTCCTGCCTGCGCATTGTTTTTCTATAGATAGGCTGCGGCGTGTTTTTTAAGGGAGGATAGTGCACTCTTTGAAGGGGGGCACAACACCGATTTATACCACAGGGTGCCTAGGGCAACATTGTTTATGACTGCCACTCTTCCCAGCATATTTATTATTCCAAGTAGGGAATTTTTCCAGAGGGGGTATTACACACCAGTTGTTGTTGTCAACCACTTTTCCACAGGGCAGTAATCTGATTTTGAAGACACAAATGGGCTCATCTGGGGACGGCCATCTGATTTTGGGTTGTTTTAGTGGTCTGACTCCACAATGGTTGATCCACCATCCCACTGTCTTGTTGCCCCAGCTCACTGAATTGTCTGAAAGGGTGTAGAACTTGTCCATAAATTTTTGGACTTCTAGGAGGTTGTTTTAGGTTGCATCCATCAACAGGGACAGGTCATGAGCAAAGATTATAAGACGACATAGCTGCATGGTCTACTGATTGTCCGTTTGTAAAGTTGCAGAGGGGATGCTGGACCCGGTTTCCAGCAGGTGAAGCTCCCCACCAATAGATGGAGCCTCCAAGAAGGGGGCCACTTTAGAGGCGGGGGGGGGAATAAAAATGAAGATGAAAAGGGTCATCAGCAAAGAGGGAGCACATAGAGATGACTTCCTCTATGATTGCTGTCACTTGGATCCTTTTAAGATCTTTGTGTTTTTCTTAAATTACCCGCTAGTGCCTCCGTGATGACTGTGAACAGATATGGGGCTGAAGGATCTCCCTAGTTGACTGATTTATGGAGTGGGATCTCTGACTCTCCGGTGCTAGGGCCCCATTGATTTGTAACTGAATTGTTGTTATTTGGTGAAGGATTGACACCCATCTGCTGAATGCTGCTTCCATGTTCTTGTTCGACACACCTACAAAATCGTACAATTATTGATCCGACATCTTCTTTTATTTTCTTAATCTGGCATCTTTCCACCATGCCCTAATCTCACTTCCCTGACCACAGATGTGAAAACATTTGTGCTACTGGCATCTTCACCCGAACAGAACGCCCGGTCAAAGTTGCCAATGGAGCTATAATAATGACCGGGCTCTCTATTCCGGCGAAGACAGTAGACAGTGGTACTACAGATTGTATGATGATTGTAGTACGACACATTCATTTAGTACTACAGATTGTATGATGACTGTACGACAACACATTCATTTTGTCCAACAACCTCGAGGTACCTCCCAGAGGTAGTAGCCCCTCCGACACAGCCATTTTGTCCTACAACCTCGACGTACCTTCCGGAGGTCGTGACCCCTCATCTGCGGGTGTCAGACTGCTCACCTGCTGGGGCCCGGTTGGTTGAAACAAACTGCTTTGTTTTATTTCTCTTTCATTTTCTTGAATCACAGCCTGCTTTCGGTTCCGAATTATAGAGCAAAATTGTAGAGTCAGGTGCAACCAAAAGACCGGTTAGTGCAAACTTATCATGAACTCGTGAAGATCCTACAGTCTTCCTCTGAACAATTGTATATGAATAGCGCACGGGGTGCGTTGTATTCGTACACGACGCATGGGAGTTATGCTACGGATATTGGGCACCAACTTTGGAAAAAGGCCCCCCATAAAAAATCAAGTATATGCCCTTGCCTTTGAAGGTGACTCAGGGGCGCACACTTGAAAACGGGCGTGGCACTGCAGGCGGGCACACACGCCAGTGTGTGTGTGTGTGTGCATGTGTGTGTGTGTGTGTGTGTGTGTGTGTGTGTGTGTGTGTGTGTGTGTGTGAGAGAGAGAGAGAGAGAGAGAGAG